ATCTGTATCATTACTTGATATTGCTTGAATAAGTCGGCTAATTGATGGGTCTATTCCAAATGGAGCTAGTATTGTGTGAAATAGGAATGAAGTTAAAACAGTCATCTTTATAAAATGATAAATTAATGTAAAAATCAATTGGATAAAAAGTAGTTTTTACTTGGAAGAGTATCAGAGTAGCAACAAATATGGCTATCAAAACAGGGAGTGGTAACTGGAGACCTAAAAACGATACACCATTATATAAACAAAGTAGTTGTACCTGAGAAGAAGTATTTCTTGATTTTAACAGGATTCCTATTAATCATAAAAACAATATGATTAACCAGGAAAAATTAATAGCTGACCTTTCTAACAATTGCTTGACATAATTGATCTGGTTCTCAGATTCCGGTTGTTGAAGAATCTAAAGAAGACACATTGACTCCTTTCTTGTATGAGTGGCTCATGGTAACTCACTGCTTCTCTCCAGTCACTATCAGCTCTACATAATCTCACAATCTCTTTAATTAGCTTATAAAGATACCATATTATGACACCAATCAGACACAATATCTGAGGCAAAACTGTCATAGTACCTGTAGCATACTATAGAGACAGTATCCATAAAAATGAAAAAATAATATTGCACACACGTTTAGGTTTTTCGATTGTTGATTTAGAACACTTCTAAAAATAATATTCATGATCAGCCCATAGGAAACTATGTCATATACAAGACTAGAAAAATGATTAATAGTATAAATAATAATGATACTTACAATACAATAGTGTACAGAGCTCCTAAGCTATACCCCAGGAGTGGTATAGGTGACTGAACACAAGCTAATAATGGATACGTCTGAATGACAAGCACAAGTATGAAAAAAACAATATAAATACCTAACAAGGAATGCAATAATACTGGGTAATGAATTAACAGGATATACTTTGAACAATGTCTCTGAACCACTTGTTTTCTACTTCAACTAATGATGAAGACTGAATGACATTTAATAATGAAGAGGCCACTAGTCCACAAGCAAGGACATATACCAAGCGATGTCTTGGATTCAGAAAATTAATAGGACTATTGTGTAAACCATTATATTAATGTATATATACATGCATACACAATTAAGAAAGCTGTTGTACGAAAACAATATGCAATAGATCCAATGGGAGGGAGGGGCAGACCAAATTTATCAATAATTTTTGGAAGGTTTTTTTTACATGGAGTGGACACGTTTATGAACTTATAAAACTCACGGTACAATCCCTGGGACTCCATTACAGGTACTCAAACCTTTCTTTGCTCTTCTTTGTGAGAAGCTCAACACAATTAGTACCATCATAGTAACATTTCATGAGACTGGTGTGTGCTCATCTATTGTGTGCTTACAGCAATTCCAAAAAGTATAAAACCCCCAAAAAGTTGAAAGCTGTATAAAGAAAAAAATAGTAAAACACGAAAACGTCTGACTTACTTCACCAAAGCGGCACTCATTTTGGACACAGCAAGACTGAGTTGGCAATAGTGGTTGCAACAATCAATGTGGCTAGTATGGAGCTACCACTGGAGCCGAATGACTGCGTGTTGACCTGTCACGAAAAAAATTGTCCCCCGTGAAAATTGATCCTAGGATAGAAATATCACGTGATATTTTATGTCCGCGTCAGCAATTTTTTGTCCTACCAAAAGAAAAGTGCAAAGGAACTGTAATTCTGTAAATCTTTGTATTCGACTTTGTTCCTTAATTATTTATCTATGGAATACACGTACAAAGCATGTGGGACCCTTTATTATACGTTCAAAGTACATAGAAGAAGATTTCAGATCGAAGAAGGATGACAGACTGTGTCAAGAACCGAATAAAGAACCGGCCAGGAAAGAATTAAGAGGATGATCTTGTGGAGAAGGCAGCTGTGTATTTAGCTGATAGAAAGTGTCCAGAAGGTTGTAGTGCTAATAGAAAGAGGCAGATATGGAAAAGAGCTGAAAAGTTTGTTTTCAGTGCAAAATGGGGAACTGTATTACCAGACCAAGATGACTGAATGGTCAACTATATCATGATAGTCAGGGCCGTAGCCAGGAACTTGAGACAGGGGGTTCGGAAATTGCTGCGCGCGAAGCGCGCAGCGAAAATTTTGACAAAAATGGGCGTGGTTGGTAGGCGTAATCTTAATTTACGCATCTCAGCCATGTGCTGACTCAGCTAAAATGGCTATCTATGCTTCTCGCTGTTGCCAAAATGCTAATCCTGCTTTTGCAGTGCTGTTCTTCATGACAGGAGCTAATCTAAAATTTTTTTGCAGCTACAACAGGGGGTTCGTCCGAACCCCCGAACCCCCCCTGGCTACGGGCCTGATAGTGTAGGTGTTTTGTGCATTTTAAATAGTTTAGTTAGTTATGTGTATATATGTATGTACGTAGTATGATATCTGTGCTTTTGTAGACAAACTCAGTATGTATATGCATCTGTATTCATGATTTGAATAACTAGAAACAATGTAAAACATTCAAGGGCTCAGCCTCGTAGATTATTAGCTGGGGAAAAGCAGAATCTCAACTTTATGGTGCTGCTAGAAAACTCCTGACTTGTTTTTTACTTTAAGCCTTGCTACACTGACTTTAAAATAGCCATAAGATATAAAAAGGCTGGCCAGTTTAGTGCAGTCAGTGACAAATGTGACATTTGTTTGATTTTCTCAACAAAAAGAAGTTTCATAGTTACTTAATTGCACCTGTAACCTTTTCAAGCAGTTGGAGAAGTCTTTGGACTGGGTTTTTGCCTTATCTTGTTGCTAGGAAGTAGGAAAATCATGAGTTCTGATTCCTGTGTGCTGATCGCCATTTTATTATCTTTCGGCCACTCCCACTTTTAATGAAATATTGAAATTTAGAATCTATATTGCACTGCTAGGCATGTGCGGCTATATAGAGGACATACGGAATACGTACGTGTACAGACAGACAAACAAACAAACAAACTCTACTCATCTTAGTGGGCTTCGCCCAATTAAATCAAAGCATGGCAATTATAACAAACTGATATATGATAGCTTGCCCAGCGATGGTATTGATAAATGTACCAGGGAGCAGATAGCAGCAATACCGAAATGCACCGAGTACAGGGAATTAAAGTGACTGTTCCTAGTATGCAAATTAAGGCAAAATGGACAATAAGATTGTGGTTTATGTGCCCTTGCTTTAGCAATGTCAATTTGTGGTGGTTAAGACCCAACTTCTTGCAGCTATATTTAACATAGGCTTCGTTTCCATCTTTTATAATGCTTAGAAAAGAATGTGATGTCTTTGTTTTCTACTTGTTTAAGAGCTAGATGCCCTGGACTATCCAAAGAATACAGGCTACTTATATACTGCCTGCATGTGCAGACAACCTATAGTAATGAAGGAAGAATGGTAAAATGTTCTTAATGTAAGGAGTGGTATCACGTAGAGTGTGAACAAATACCAGAAGATGTTTGGACTGATAAGGACTACGTTTGGTCATGTAATTGTTGTAAAAGTTGCATGAAGACAATTATTGTGCAATAATGAAATGTATTATTATTATTTTTATTAATACTGAGTGCTAAGTAAATTTTCCTTATCAAAATAGTCTATATATGCATAATATTATGATCCTAGGATAAAATATTTCAGATACAATTTGTCCTAGGACAAAAATATTTCATATATTATTTTGTCCTAGGACAAAAAAATTAGTCCTATGGCAGGACAATAAAAGCTTGCCTAGGACAAAATATTTCTGAAAGATTTTGTCCTAGGATAAAATATTTTGTCTCATGGGACAAATTTGGGTGGGACAGATTTTTCTGTGACAGACCCCTTAACTGAGGGGGTGCCCAAATAATTTTATTATAGTATTAATAACAATAACCATGACTGTTCTATTACATGAAATTAATCATACACACAGTACAAACTCAAATGAGACGAAGTGCATTTAAGATTGCTGTCGAGTTGATAAGATCATTAAATCTATTGTTATCTTATAAGTTTGCTCACAGCAATTCCAAAGCATTAGAAAAGTCCCTATGACAAAGCTGTATAATAGAAGGGTATCATAAAATACAAAAATGTCTTACTCTTCTAAAGCATTTATATTTGTAGTTGTAGACAGTATGACAAAGAAATGTAGCCTGAGCA